GGATTAGAATAGCGTGGAATTGGGAAAATTGGCTGTGGATTCTAGTGCAATGCCATTTGCAGTTTATGTATCTTTGGATCGCAATTAGTTACAGGACCTAATGAATATTCTTTGGTACTGACATCGCCTCTCATTTTTAATTGCATGAACACAATTACAAACATAAATAAAATTCGGACTGTTTGTAATAAGTGGTTGGAGTGTGCATGTGAACGACCTGTGTAAATGTGCGAGAAGTCGATGGATACAGGTGGCTCAGGATCGTGCTTTGTGGGGAGGTCTATGTTCAGCAGTAAACTTAAACAGACAGAAATGATGATACAATTAAATAAAATTTTTATTCTAAAGTTAGTTAAGTAATTTATGTTTGTGTATGTGTTTATTGGTGGTAGAGCCAAGCAGCAGCCTCGGCTGTTGCACGAATGGGCAGGCTCGTCCGGGTAAGTACCACGACCACACAGAAGACCGGCGTAAAGTGGAAGTACGATAAATGCTTTCGCGTTTCGTCTGATGAGTGAGGTAGCCGGAGCCCAATTTACAAAAAGGTTGTCAACGCATCTGCAAACCCTCGGGTGTAGCAGATGTCTATGGGCGGTGGTATTCACATAACATCAGGTGAACCGTCTACTAGTTTGGCAACTTTTCGAATAAAAAAAAATGTGGAGGTTGCTATCTAATCTGGCACTGGTGCTCACCTATCGTTTGTCACTGGTACAAAAAAATTACCATGACACCAATACTGTACAGTATGAATTACACAGGATACTGGGTCTAGATCAATATTTTCTCATAGTTGAGATCGTGGGTCTGAAATCGAGTAGTATCGTGATATAAAACATTGCATCATATCGTCGTAAGCGAATTAACTCGTTAAAGCTTGTACCTTTTAACGTAGAGATTTTATTAATTTTACTTTAAACATTTGACTTTACAAATCCTAAATGCGCGTAACTTAAAGAACATACATCATAAATTAAATATTAATACATTTTTTTTAACTAACGATAATCGGAACCCTCAACTTGATCAGCAAGCGAGACTTTCTAACATCGGAGTTACACACGATACGTCTCTTAAGTCCAACGGCAAATGTAGAGCGTAAAGCCATTTATGTGGAGCATGAAAGCCGTTTCGCTACTCTTAAAAAATCCATAAGTCTTTTTAATCTACTTAGGATATTTATTCGGTGCAAAATGTGTGCCTTTTACGGATTAAATATCTATATTTTAACCTTAAGATGTTTTATTAAATCGACAGGTGTAGAAATTATGAGTAGCTCTGAAGTAATGACTGCATTAATCTATTAAGTAATTTCGCTCTTATGTTTTTTTTTGATATATCAATGTCATGTTAGATGTCTTGTCGCCATAACCTCAACATTTTGAAATAATCAACAGCAATAAATATAACACTACTAATTGAGCCTTATTTGTCTTAAAGATTAGTTTCTGCCGCTCTTTATTGCGAACCGAATATTTTTAATTAAATTTAGACATATTTCGAATGGAATATCAAAATAGATATTAGTTTTATAATAAACAACCTATAAGTTTGATTAATTAATCGGCTTTTTGAAAAATTAATCGGTTTGATAAATTAATTAATATACATTTGATAAATTAAACCTTACAAAGGCTCCAAGCTTCCAAGAGAGCTTATGAATTAGTAACAAAGCACGAAGATGAAAGAGCTTTATTCAGCATGCACGCCTTCAATACCCAGTATATTGTTCGATATTTCTTTGTGCAAAAAAAAGTACAAATATATATGTTTTAGTTAACGATACGCTGTCAGTTTTTTTGATTGTAAAGCTTTATTATTATAAAATATTTATGTGAAAAATACCATAATAATGATCATAGGTCATATTAAAATTAAAAGTAAATTTCTCATTAATGTAGCGGTTACTGTTGGATTGCGTATAAATTTACATTATATATCGTAAACTTTGTTCAACTAACTAAACGACTGAATCATCACATGTTTTATAAAAACGAATACAAGTAACTAAGCATATCAGGTACACAATAGTTTCCCTCTGGTTCATTTTCTAACTATGCATTCATTTCAATAAACTTTGTTTTTATACAAAATATCAATTGAAAAATATGAACAATGGGAGTAGAAATGAAACATGACTCTGTACAATTATCGTAGATACAAAGAGCTTTCTAGGTTTCGTACACCTCCGAATTCTTACTAATTGCTATAAGAATGTCTGAGGCGTGTTAAGACTAATGTTATTTTTCGTAAATACAAGTTCCACTAAATTATATATTGCCAACATCAACTAAGGTCTAAAACAAATCCACTTTCCTTCTACCAAAACATTACAATAATAAAATTTCTTCATCCGACACGGGTTGGAAGGCTGTTACATTCGTAACGTCGGCGTACCTTGAATAAAGGAGATTTGAACGCCGGGAATGCGACTTGTATTATTAAAGCCGGAGAATTCGGGTCGCCGGACGAAATGCACTAGCACTGTTCCGTTGTTTCAGTGCCGTGGTATCTGGCGGAGTTACAGCAGTGTACCGGCGGGAGAGCTACGGGCAGTACGTATGGCGCGCGCCCTCTGAACGGAGCCGCGGCGCATTCACATCCGCGCTCACAGAACCGTTTGCAGAATATTACTGACAACAGGCACAGCTGAATTCGTACGTGAAGTGTCTATTGTTGAAATATTCAATTGAACATTTCGCCGCTGAAATTGAAGTGTGAAAGTGAATAACATCGCATCGCAGTGGTGAGTAAAGTAGCATGTAAAACGCATAAATAACTAAGGGACTCTATAAGTAGCCTTAGTGATGAATTAATTTAAACGAGGGTTCTTATATCTCTAAATAGAATTCAAAATTGCCATGTAAGGCGCAAAATTCGTTCAAATTAATGTGATATTCATGCGTACATTTTCAATTATTTATTTTAAAGCTCACTTATTTAATCTTATTGATAGAAAATTATCACGGCAGACGTATTAATAAATGTGCATTATGTTATTTATGTTAGCTTTAAATAGGTTTTTTAAAAGGATTTAACTAGAGTTTATTTTTGGAAATTACAATAATTTTGAGTCGAACTCATCATGATTGATGATACTTAATAAGTTTCGTCTCAACCACGTTTATTTTATTACTTATACATTTGTGTCCTTTTAAGTGTTGTAGTAAAGGATGATGTGTGTTTCGTATTTATTACCAAATACCACTTAATAAATATATTTTTTTTAAATCACCTTTTGCAATAAGTAAGCTTAATATTTAATATTTGTAGATCCCATCAAGATTATAGCAACACAATAAGATCCCAGCAACACAACAAGATCCCATCAAGATCATAGCAACACCTACAGAATACGCATAGCATTTATACGATATTTATTTTAAAGATGTTACTATTTCAAATGATTTCTTTTATTAATTATCCTTTTGTAACGCCTTCACGACTAAACCGCAGAACCAATTATGAAGAAGTTTGGTATAGACATAGAATCGGACCTTGATGAAGAAAATAAGCTATTCGGAGTACATATCCTGCGCCCTAGCATAATACGACAACCCTAGCTGCGTTGAATACGGTCAAATGGAAGAAGCTGGCAATAGGGGGCGCCCGCATAGAGATGATAACAGTAATCTATGTGGGGCCGAATTTGCGCCTTATAAAAGTTTAGGTGTTGAGCTGACGTGAAGAGCTGTCTCGCCTTTCTGAGCACGCCAAGCTTCTTTAGAGCCAATTTGGCCTAACCTTTCAATTGACACAGAACTGGACGTTGCTCGCGATTTCCTTGCCAAGTATTCTGATACTCGCTGTGGCAGACAGGGGAATGTTCTTAAAATGAAAAGTTACGACAAATGGGGACTTTTTAGTGGTTAACGCGCAAACTTGTGTCTTATTGGGGTTGAATATATTAGTGGAGGAGAAATGGGGAGAGGGCGTCCGGGATTCTCATAGACCGATCGAAACGCGACAGCATTGCTGCCACTTGACTCAGGTTTCCAGTGGGAGAGTGATTCTTCCCCGGGCGTGCCGGCCCAATTCGTCTTCTACCCGAAGGTGCGCAGCATAGTACTACCACTAATTTAATGGGTTGACTATCCTAAGGTTATTCCACAAGCGGGCGATGGGGTCATCACATCCCAACAATTCTTGGAAGTCTAGTTTTAAATCTAGCGTAAACACGATACAAAACGAAGCTATCAATGTGGAAGAAGAACACATAAATATATAATTTTTATTGCCTTTTAAAAAATAATTAGTTAATTACAATTTTGAAGGTGCAAAATAGATAGAAATCAGATAGAAATATTAAAACAGATACATACTCTTAAACGACAACTTTTATCGAAAAAAATCAGTTAAGAGAATAAAACATACATAGTAGGAAAAATGATTAACAGCCCACTTAACCTAGTTTTTATTTTAAGCGGGCTAAAACGGGAATTTTCCACTGGAACATATTTCGAGTTCACTAGTTTCCGTTAATGGGTGGGTCTTTTAACAAAATGCCACTGCCCATCCTGGTGAAGATTTGAAATTGTGTGTAATTAATTCTGTTGTAAATTTATTAAGAAAGATATAATTAAAATTCATAAAATTTTTTCAATTTCTTTATATCCATGAATAAATACATACAGATGACCAATTAAAAAAAATATTAAGTTTTGTATTCATCGAATGTTTTGTAATGTACATCTTTCTCAGACATTCAGTTTTAACATCAGGTATTGATAATGAAACTCTAATAGCACCATGAAAAATTTTTTTCATTCCAAGGCATTTAAAAAACAAAAATCTCTGAAATAGTCATCCATAGTCATGGATGTCATGTATTAAATGAAAAATTTGATTCTCTAATAATTTTAATTGAACCAATATTGAGTCAAGTTTTAAAAATTAAACAAACAACAGGTTCCGCTGATTGTATTATGTAGAGAACAATAAAAAATGCCAGCAGAAATGATTACGAGCCACTTTCATCGTTTTAAATTCAGGGATTAAACATGACGCGGTCAAGAACAACAGGAGCCCTTGGAATCCTTGAACAGCTAAGCACCACTGCCGCCACCACTACAAGATCCACCGCAGCTGCTACCAACGTTCTATCAGTTGCCAAATCCAGTACAAATGGAAATAAAAGGCCACCGATCATCATTTATCCAACTGGTGCGTATTACGATTTCCGCTGTAGTACTAGTTTACTTTTTCAAATGTTCAATTCACTATAAAAACTATAAAAAAATCGTAAATAGTAATTTGTTACATGATTTAAGCAAGTACGAGTAACTCGTAACATTATTTAAGTGAAGTATTTGGTATTTAACCTCTATTAAGTTAAAACTTATCATTATTATCTTAATTGTTAAATAATTACATTCAGTAGAATTTAACATGTTAGAAGTTTTCAAATTCGTATAGAGTGGCAGCTATATTCCATTAATATTCAATTTAATTTTAACGGGGAGTTTGCGTGAGTAATGTAATTAATGTGAGAATCAATTTACGAGTACATATGAGTAAAGTTACTTTAGTAAAAAAATTACATTAAGTACCTGACGCACTTTCACTAGTTTCTTCTTAAAATGTTTATAAACTATATCGTGTTATGTAATTCAGTCTAATATTTCATATTTTATTGCCCATCCTTCTGCTACGGGTAAAAAGTATCCTATTGCACTGCTTATCTATTATCTGTTGAATTATAGTCATCAGGCTTACATCTTTATATATATATAATTCTTCTGTACGTGTGTACGTCACCGAACTCCTCTTAAACGGCTGGACCGATTTTAATGAAACTTTTTGTGCGTCTTCAGGTCGATTCGAGAATGGCTTAGATTCACAATCTGGTCCGTTTACAATTTTTTTTATATCTAAGTTATCGAATTTAAGTCGTGTATACGAGATAACGTGTGTCCAGTCCGCTAGTATTTTATAAAATATTATAATTCAGAGATATTGGTGGAAAATTGAGTAAGTAACCGTTTCGCTCTTTTCTTTCCATCTATTCCTTGAGTCATTTCTCACTGTTTCATTCTAAAATCGTTGTCAACTCTTTCGCAGTTATAAAGGAATAAATATGAAAATTTTTATTCTTTATTCTGCAGTCCCCATATTTTTTCTCCCAACTGTTAGTTGTGTTAGTATCCAGAAAAAAGTGTGGCGATTCACTTCACTCGTAGCACCCCCAACCCCCATCCGCCACACCGTTACAAAGGTCCTCGCCAGTACAGAAAGTTGGGGCAAATATCACTATATGGCCAAACTCTCCCCTGGGAGAAAACGGTCAAATATTTAGGAGTCACTTTCGACTCGCGTATGACTTTCACTACGCACATCAATCAAGTCCGAAATAAAGCCGCGTTCGTCTCCGGCCGGCTAAACAATTTAACGAATAAGCATAGTAAAATGCCCTTAAGGCACAAACTACTGTTATATAAAGCTTGCGTAAGGCCAATCATGTCCTACGCTTGCATGATCTTCGCACATACAAATCCTACGCGCATTAACAAATTGCAAGTAGTTCAAAGTAAGTTTATCCGCCGCGCAACCGGTGCGCAATGGTATCAGCGCAACGTCGACCTGCACAGCGATTGCAGACTCCCGACGATTCGCGCTCATTTTAAAGATTTGACAAAACGGTTCTTCGATAGAGCCCAGCATCATCCCAACCCTCTGGTGGTAAGCGCAGCAAACTACCTACCGGACACTAACGCGAACGTAAACAAGCGTCGCCCGCGAAACGTCCTCATCGACCCGGTCGACGAAGAGGACTTAGATACGATGGACCCACCGCCCGGGGTCCCGCCGGATAACACTACACCCACAGTTAGTGTAACAACAATCACACCAGTTCGCCCTCGCCTCCGAGCACGGCGAGACCCACACAACGCGTACACAAGGTACACCCGCGTTCCGGGGCGGTTCTCACCACTCCCAGCCACCGATTAGCTAAATGCACAGTCGACGGCCGTCGGGGTTTCGGTCCGAACCGGCGACCTCGACGGCCCTTAGATGACACACCATAGTAGTTAAACGCACGCATGAGCACATGCGCGACCCTACCCATAGCGGAGGGTCCAAACCCGTGGGTTCTGGCTAGCCCACCGGTTCTGCGTCCGATGAAGCTTTAATAGTCTCGGGACTGTAGTGATATTACTAATATTTACATCCCGGTGTATATTTGAAAGAGAGAAAGAGCAACTTTTCCATAATTTTTTTGAGAGAATTGTTCCTTTTTTATACATAAATTGAGTCGTAGAAATGACTAAAACGATAGATGAAATACAGACTTAGAAAATATAAATTACGAACCTACTTATTATGATATATTAAATCACCTTAAAATCTAATACCTTTAAACGAGCAATTGTTGTATATATATACAGCTTGTCTTTACAATCGCGACAATAAATGAACACACATATAGAGGATAACTTTTTAAAATTGTATTAAAGATTTACATTCTTTAAACATCAATATTTACCGAGTTATCACAGTTTCCAAAACAAAGAATTTTAGAACACGAACAACGTATAAAACTGTAATTTAAATTTCATTTGTAAAGGTCACAAAGCATATGAATGGGTTGAATGAATTTAAAAGAGACAAAACAAACTGTTAGAAGGAGAGGTTTATAAGGCGGCGCTGTGGCAACGAATGAAAAAGTCTCTGAATGTATGAATCAGTCAGTTGTAGTTGTATAGGATGTTACTAATTTTGTTTCTTTTTTACTTAATTAGTTTGTTTGAAAAATATTTTTTTTAATTATGGATTTTTTAAAGTTAATATTTTTTATGATCATTGGCAAGCTAGTTAAGTAAGTTAGACGGTGTGTTCATTTATTGTCGCGGTGGTAAAGACACGCTGTATATAGATTTAGCAAAAAAAACCTCCTCAAACCCTAATAAGGAGGCAAACATAAATTAAGTTACGGAAAACGAGAAAAAAAGTAGAAAAAATGTACAATTACGAAACGTAAATATCACCATAAGTGTTTTAAAGTAAACTCTTTAATGGTTAATTGAAAATGTCATATAGCAGAAAAAAATGTGCACTGCAGCCACATTTCAATTATCTGTGAAAAAAAGCATATCATAAATGTATCAAAGCATTTTTAGACTCCATTCGATATACTGTTCCCAATTACGGTTCTTAATGACTACACAAATTATATCTATAAATAAAAATAGATTGTATCCCAAAATAATGATCTCATCGCTGCTTCATTTACAAATTGCCATATTTCCAACAAAAATTATTTATCCTCTCTACTTTATTCGAACCTTACGAACAGAATTATTTTGTACGTAAATCTCCATCAACTTCGCCATCAATCATGTAACAAATATTTACTTAAAACAAAGCTGTTTGCAAAAACGGCAACTTATTTAGGCAGTACAAACGTAATCTACGTATTTTTCAATCAAATTGATCGTAGTGAATTTTTAACCCAATTCTTTTGTTTCAGTTACACCGGAATCAATAGTCGTGCCCATCGTTTCCTGCATATTCGGATTTCCATTGCTTGCATTGACTGTCATATGTTGTCTTAGGCGAAGGGCGAAACTGGCAAGGTATTCGTGGAGCATTGTAATAAAAAAAACATGCATCTTTAATTCTATAAATCAATTAAATCTAATGTCCATACTTAGTGATTTTCTGTACTGCATTCGCAGTAACGAGCTAGTCCTGAGAAAATGTACTTCCCATTAGCCGGAATAAGACCGCGTTCACAGTACGACACGTTTTAGTTTGTTCGTGCTACTGTTCAAACGCCTCCAGCTCCACTGCTTTTTGCGTTATAGGGTTAACGGTCGAGTAAATGGAACAAAAGTCTAATACTGAGTCTTGTAAATTAGAAAAGAACGACAATTTATAAAATTTTGAATTTAAAACAAAGTACTGTGAGAATTCAAAGGAAGCGCTATACGAATGCATCTTTAGTTTCTAAGCATTAGTTAACTCATTCTTGCCCTTGTGACAAGATTTTCAATACATTCCTGTTTTAAGCAATTGTATGACAGAGAAAATGCTATTATAACTCGTTTTATTATCGGGCTGTAATAGTTTTTTGATAATTTTTTAAATTTAAATTCGGTCTAAATATAAATCTTCTTCTAAAGTAAATTAAATATAATATTTTATCATTATTAGTTGCATTTTCTTGATTTTGCATAATTTCGTTAAATAACTTATTTACGCTTCACCATTTCCGTAATGTTGTTTTAATATGCAGCTCATCGAGCTCATTTCAAGGGTATCATTTTAAGGGTATTCCCTACAAACTTTGGGATTGCTGGCTTGGAAGAAGCTAGAAATGCTTTTTTAATTGCATGCCCAAGTCAAAATTTTCCGGTTTCTCCAAATTCACAGAGCAGCTGGGACGAAATAATCTGTAAATTGACATATGACAATCTTTTGAGCTGTAGTACAGGTTCGGCGCGTGCTAGGCTTTTGGCCGTGGATGCGCATGAGGCTGGCTACTGGCTTCACACGTTCACACGGCTCAAGAAATGTTCCACAGGAACATTTCTTGAGCCTGACACGCTCCGAAACGCCGAGGCTTGGGGTTCCGATCTGCGCTCCTCATAAATGTCCCCGTGGCAGTGATGTCGACAAGGACATCATGGACTGTCATGCCAAAAAAGTGCGGGCCGCTTCTCGAGACATGCCGCACTTAACGATGTCATACGCCGGTCCCTTGCCACCGTCAACGTGCCAAGTCTACTTGAGCCGACTGGTATTGCAAGAAACGATGGCAAGAGACAGAACGGTATGAGTTTGATTCCATGGAAGATGGGCCGGGTGCTCGTATGGGATGCAACCTATTCAGACACGCTGGCCCCTTCCCATCTACATGGAACCAACAACAGAGCTGGTGCGGCTTGTGAAGCGGCTGAAAAAGCTAAAGCCTGCAAATACAGGGGTCTAGGCTCCGAATATGAATTTGTCCCGTTCGGTGTGACCCTTGGTCCGTGGGGTCCTAGCGCTATAAGGCTTTTTAACCAAATAGCAAAAAGGTTAGTCGACATCACAGGAGACCGAAGAGCTAGCAGGTACCTCGGACAAAGAATCAGTCTAGCTATTCAAAGGGGGAACGCTGCCAGTATCTTCGGAACCTTGACTCCTTTTAATGATATATTTTAATTATTACATTATTATTTCTTTTCTTTTTTAAGGTTTTTAGTTTTAGTTTCATTGTTCTAGTATATATTAGTTTATCATTTGAATGTTATTTAAGTTTGCTTATAGCCTTTTACTAGATATATTTTTAAGATGTTAATTAGATTAATTTAATGTATATCTCCGTGATAAAATCACATTCACGACCTTTGAACCTATCTCGTTTTTAAAATCCGATACAAGGAGGCCACGTTTATACTCTCATTATCGTCGGCATCTCGCATGGATGAAAAGTAAAGTTTATTTTATTTTTATCGACTTCGCTCTGTGTTAGTATCGATCCAACCGGGAGTTACACTGGAATGTCTACAAACATATACAGAATGAATGCATGATGCTTAAATGGATTACAGTACGGAAAAATTGAAAACAATTAATAAAATTAGAACAGGAATTAATTTAAAGGATAAATAAAACCATTCTCACATCTTTTTTACTCAGATCTACTATAGTATTAAAAATATCAAAGCACGTTTCAGCAGAAATATTATGCCCATTTTAGTAACTTTCATGATATAATAAATTTGTATACAAATACATAGCATACACCGACATAACTGTAAAAATTACTACATTGTAAAGTAAATATATAACATTATAAAGTATATATCTATGTCTATGTCAATTATACTGTCAGTTGTAGACCTTCCTTATGAGATTAACGATGCGAATTCCTGTATTCGTTTTGCGTCGTGATAAATTGAAACCTTTCCCCAGGGAACGAGCAAGGCGTCGCAACTGCGAATTGGACCGGGGCGAGCTGTCGGTGGTGCGTCTTTCGCCAGTGAAGAGCAGGGGACGCGCCGTGAGCCTGGTGCGATCGCCGCGCCCCCTGCCCACTCTTGAGCTGGACACCGTGCTGGAAGAACGCTCTGATCCCGAACAGACAACGCTTTCGCAAGTAAATACACAAGCTTGCACAAACGGTTGTACAGTCGGTGGTCAACGGAGCTGAGTTTAATATATCCAGCTTCGAATAAAGTCGGCGACAGTCAAGGGACGCATTTCCTACTCTATATATATATATATGTGTGTGTACTAGCGACCTGCCCATGCTGCGCACGGGTGGAATGTATTATACATATAAACCTTCCTCTTGAATCACTATATCTAGTAAAAAAACCGCATCAAGATCCGTTTCGTAGCAGGCAGACAGCGGGATGACTTTTTTTATGCTATGTAGCGATATTATCATTGTCTTTGTAAGAGAAAACTATCCTGTTTTCTGTGAAACTTATATACGCAGATTTTATATGGAACCAGATCCATAACATTATCAGTGGATCACAAAAATATTCGCCGCGCTGCGGTAAACCTATAACGTAATAGCTTTGCAACAATCGGGCCTTCAATACTTTATCCGTTATATCATAACAAGCACGTTGTATCTGCAGCCTTTTCTCCGTATTCAATGAAGCTCTGTACATAATCTTAAAGCTGAAAGCAAAACCAACCAACAAAAATAGTTGTCTTATTTTATTTTTTCGTGGCAGCGTATATCAGGACAATTTTATTAAGTTTATTAAGTTGTAAATATGATAGAATTGGCTTTCGCCGTAAAACTCGCACGGATGTAGAACACTGATTTGGCACATAAAAATAGTCAGTCACAGTCGACGTGTACAGCCACCAGAACAAACCTTGATCAAATATAAGTAAAGTTATTCGTTGATGATTTTTCTTTTTATATTTTTCTTTTTTATGCGACTATTTGCTTATACGTCACGTACGCACAAAAGTAGGTTTCGGCATAAATTAACATTAGCAAACACTGATTCTTATATTTGTATACGATAAGGATTGGATTTCTACTTTCATCAATAAATGTTACTTGATCGGCTTTTTATTTACTCGTATAATTGATAGTTTCTAAATGTATGCCGCTCCTAAAAACATATTGAGACGGTAACAGAGTTGTTCGGATTTCTTCAATCCGCTTTTCCAACACACATTACACATGAATATGGACTTAAAACAGCTCCATGATCCACGCAATAAATAAAAAATACTCACCGGTTGGAGTTTGTGCACTTTTTTGTATTCCCACATCACAATATTTGCTCTATTTCCATATCATATTTTTCATCTCGTGCCATAGACCGCAACATACCTTGAGTGAGTATTATTGGTTTCGCAATAGTAAATAACAATTAGCGACTAACTGTATAAATAAACGTAAGTGCATATCCCGTGCACAGAGGTTATTATGAGAGTTGTCAAAAAAAACAGGTGATTCTTATGACAAATGATTATCGCCGCATATATGAGACAGTGGTGTTGCCCGGAACTTACCATAAAGGCGATTTTCATGAGTATTTTCAATAATTGGCAAATGAGCAGGCGGTTCACCTGATATTCAGTGATTACCGCCGCCCATGGACATCCAAAACACCCGAGGGGTTGCGTATGTGTAGCCCGATTACCAGACGAAAAGCGAAAGAATAATATTTTCATATCACGTTGATCTTCGGCTAGCACCCCCGGACTAGCCTACTCATTCGGACAACAGCAGAACTTTCTACCCTACTAATAATGTGACAATATTGCGCGATTAATGGTGGGGAGAGATTGAATTCAAAATAAGAGATGGTACTACGCCGGGGGAAACAGCTCGACCATGCAACAATATGAGCGACTACGCGGCTACAACTACACTGTGGTTGTGTTTAAAAAGAGATAAACGTCGGATCGGTAAGTGGGGACAATATTGTTCGTAAATAGGAGGGAATGATTTAATTTGATATAAGAGACCGTAATTACGTAAGTAAGACTTTTACTAAGTATTGCTGTTGTTATTGTTTATTATTACTTTTTTATATTGTTTAGGCTGTAATTGTTTTTTTTTTAATTTCTGTTCATTTATGATTTTCCTATTAGAGGAAACTTAACTGGTATTTGTACAAGCTATTTTTAATAACTATAAGTGCGGTGTATACTGTATGTTTAATATAAGGGACTTGGTATTCCGAAATGAACCAGCTCTATCATGCTACAATATGAGCTACTGCGCGGCTCTATGGCAATATAGTTGAGTTGAGATAGAGATGAGGACAACTTGACGGTTGGTTCACAGGTGGATATAACGCCAGATCGGGAGGTGGGGACGATACTGTTCGGTGCTATGGGCGCGGTAGGCACGGCAGCGGCCGCCGCAGTGGTGACAGCACGAGACAGCTAGCGCCGCGACTCCGCTCAGCTCGGCGCTCGTTCGCCGCTCTGGGCGGCCCTCACCAGCCAACCCCTCGATGAGGATGATGCCGAGGAGCCCTCTTACGGCAGCTAGCAAGAGCCCGACGAGCGCACCGTAACCGATATCGGCAAGCGCATGAAACTGTTCTTGGACATTCCTCTGAGATTTTAACCGTGCAGAGCAGGTGTTTGCTGAGAGACAGCTCAGACTTCACTTTTGGTGCGGAGGCGTTTGTGTCGTCCATCCAATCTTTTAATTATCATTGGAAATTCTACAACGTTATAAACTTTTATGTAACTGTAGTGGGTGAAAATTCAGTATTGCTATTGCTCATTTTAAGTGCAAAGTAAAAAATAATGGAATAATCTTTAGGTTTCTACCAATGTCTGTGGTAATGTTTATTTTTCTTGTAAATAATGTTATTCACGCAAACGGGTCACAAAATAAGATTTAACATAGAGTTTATTAAGAGCAACAAGCTCTACATTTAAGTATATAAACAATGTAAAATTTATGTGTTGATTATTTAGAATTATTATTCAATATCAGATATTAATTCGTAGACCTGTAGGCGTTTACAAATCACCTAGATTTGTAAATTTGCACGGAAATATACTATAAATATTGAAGTAGAGCACCATGAATTTAATTAATATTACCACTGTATATTTGGATTGCATATCGTAAATGTGTAATATGTATTGTATTGTTTAACGTAATTTTAGAAGACTATGCATGTTAATTGCATCTGCCGTTGCATCAATTAGCAGGCTCATCCAGGTATGTACTACATACCAGGGCCTCAAAGTATTAAACTTTCGCGTTCCGTCTGGTAAACGGGGCCCACATTTTTAAGGTTGTCAACGCATCAGCAAACTATTGGATGTTGCAAATGTCCATGGTATTCTTTTAACATCAGGTGCAGGGCCTGTTCGCTTTACAACTTTTCACATGAAACTAACTTTTATTTATATTATGATTAGTTACTGTTAATAATATAAAAGATATATGTAATGTAAATATTCTAAACTGCTTTTGTATAAATTTGTGCTATTGACTACAGCCTCTATTACTTGCACTTATTTTTTCTATGAAATAAACCTTTTTCAAATTGAAGGAAATAGGTCAAACTTATATATAACACGGTTAGCGTAAATAGGGCGTGATAATTCTTTCTTTACTGCTTAACATCATGAAGCTTTAAAGACGCCAGGGAATTGCCATTAGGTAGTGCGTAATTGACCCACTTCTGGGATTGAAATCAGGGCATTTAAAATTTTCACCGAATTGTTGTATGTCGCTATGATTCACTGTAATTTCCCTTAAAATATGATATATGCAGCATATTCATAGTCTAATTACATAATCATTATGTTAAGTTAGCATTACAAAAATTACTGAATAACTTTATATCATAATAGTGTTTAAGTATAGTTTACTATAACATAAAAAATTAATCAAACAGGAAGAATTTAATAATCAGCCAATTTGTTATTGAACATTTTTTTAGTTCTTACTTGGGACTTATAAAACATTACACCGTTGTGCGTTATTTTGGGCGCCAAGTGCTCGTAGACAGTGCCCAACTTTTTTAACACACGCATGTCCACATGCGTGCGTTAACTAAAGCGTGCACTTAGGTTGGACTTATCAATCTCGTGGAAACGCCTTTCTACAAGGTCTCTGCCCGATGAAGCTTTATGTAATCTAAGGACTGAAATGCAAACACCTACCATGAAAATACAAAAACAAGACAAATGGAAAATATCGATTATCGATTTCCATAGACAATAAACTCAATCCATATCAACATTAAACCATTTTAATGGCCTCACGAAGTTCGAATTATATACCATGCGCGTTATTACCTTATTTTTTTCACTTCATCTGTTGCGATTAATAATAACGCTGCTTCATATTTAATTTGATAACTTAGATGAAGTTAAATATACATGAAAGAACTGCAATTATTCCGGATCATTTATGATAGAGTGTTGTATAATATTGATAAAATATTTTCAAATCATAATGCATATTACTTTCTGGATCAAGAAATATGTGGATGAGGTATTAGGAATACCAACTACTGTCAAATTCTGGACGCATATCTGGCAGACATTTGGAGTAAGATCTTGGTTGATGGAGTAGGCGAGTTTGTTTTTCGCAGGACAAACGCAACGGTTGTAGAGCTTCCAAGCGTTCGTAGGTTATTTCCAGCTGATAAAATAACACCCGCATTCACACAGCTCACATCATGAGTGATTCCATCGGCAACCTAGTGTAATGGTGATTTCTTGGCCTGCTAAATCAGAGAATGTAAACTGTAAATGTAAAATTTATGGAATTTCAGCGGTGGAGAAATAATGAAGAGAGAACGATATAAAATATAAAATATTTAATATTAATGGCAATAATTTGGCGAACAGATAGTACCTAGTACGTACGTATATATCATGCCTTGGCCAAAAGCACCGAGCAGTGACCGCCTTACAAATTTCGCTTTTCTACAATAACAATTGCAGAAAACAATTTCCTAGTGGAAGGAAAATCACAAAATTCATAGAGCTGTTATACAAATACTTGCGCAAATATATATTACTGTCTTTATTATCAAGCCTTTAGAACAGTTTGAATTTTACACAGAAGCACTAGTTACCACATGTAAAGTGTAAATAGTACAAAAAAGAGATGAAAGTCTGCCTGAGCCACGCATAGAATACAAAGAGAGTGAACAGCCTTTTTCTGAGCTAGCGTGCTTACCATCCACGACTGCATCACTACTTATCATCCGGTAGTCAAGCGCTGGCCAGTTTCAAATTATAAAAAAACAATGAAAAAAAAAGATATAATATTTTCCCGTAATTGAGGCAAAGGTTGAATCTACAAAATATAAATGAAATGCTTACAAATAAAACATTATTTACTATAAATGACTAGAAATCTATAAATTGAAACTATTTCATAGTATGCACTGTATATTGTCCTCCATAAAACTGAAATATGTATGATGCTCTTCACTTTTTCTCAAGACTAAAGAATATTTCAGCTGTCTGTTCTACCCGCGTAGAAAAAAAAGCTCTCAAATCATTTAGAGCAATCTCGTATAGCCCTGCCTAACTTTTTAAAAGTATTAAAACTATTTATATCAGTGCTACTTTTTATTGTTAATAAATAAGGAAAGATTTAATGACGAACTTCGGAATAATTTTGGCGGAATCGGGGGTCTGGTGTCGGTGGAAATCTTATAGTATCTATACGGTGAACACCTAGCCTATAGCCATATAGCCTTTGGAATTTAACTTTTGGGTTAAAAAGTAAAACGACATTCATGACAAATGGTTAGTTATATGTTTGACATTTACGAATCGGGACCCTATACGCTCGAACAAAGTTGGGAAATAATGAAAACTTTTTCAAAAGTGGTGCCCAAACTGTAAGAAAATCAACAAAAATGTCTTCAACACAGGTTGTGCTTGTGGATCCATTCGTGAAGCGAGTTCGTGAAACTGGTTCGTTATTGGACAAAACATCACGTGTCCGTTCTCGTTCAGCCAAATACATTGCTGCTGTTGATCAGAACATGTCTGAGAATTTATCCACATTCACTCGTCATCGTTCTCAGCAACTGAACATTTCTCGCACTTCATTGAGGAGAATTTTCATGTCTTATTTTCTTTCGGAGCACTTGACACGCAGCCAACATAACAATCGATCTTTTGCACCCTTTTTTTGAAAATCGAATAATCATTAGAAATGGTGATGCAAACTGGCCGCCTGATTAATGTTACGCTAAACATCCAGAGACAGTTGAGGCCTTAAAACATGAAATCGAAGTTGCTATTAATGGCATAAAAGCAGATACGATTAAAAATGTACTGAAAAATTGGGTTCATCGGATTGTACAAGCAAGCCGTGACAGTCTTATGATCGATGTCCTGTTTCATTTTCTATCTTTACAATAAAATAATTTTTTTGACAAAACATTTTTTATAGACTATTCAAATTTTAAATGGCCCACCCTCTATAAGTAAGTTCATCCCCATTAAAGATCTACCTGTGTCCATCAATGTCAGTCGTGGGACACTAGTTTAAAAACAGAACACCAGCCATTCTAAGTCATCCACATCCTCATTATTCACCGTGGGACCAGCTGCAGCTACGCTGAGGCCTAACCACCTCCTCGAGCTGCAGCTGCAAAGTATGCAGGGCATCGGGCGAGTATTCTGTGCACCAAAACAGAACTTGCTTACTGGGTAGGATAGCCGAATAAAACCTGAGTAAGTCTCTGAACTCCAAGGTGGCCAGCGACTAAGACACTATGGTCTTGTCAACTACTTGTCTGAAAACAAACGTTTAGTGAAACTAAAACTGTAAAAACCTACACGACGCAATGGTGGAATACTATTAACGCCCTCTGGGCCACCTAGGCGCGTAGGACATAGAAGAGGTAAGAATAAATCGATTGGCATACTATCACACATGCTAGTGGCTTTATAAGCTGTACAAAAATATCTATTTTCGTGCCTGGTGTATAGGGCCTATTCTGAGAAAACCATACGTAAGGAGGGTAGCCTTGCGCAAACATTTTCCGTTAATGAAATTATCATGCAAATACGTATCTACCGTCGAGAATTGTACCTTTTCCGGTGATAATTATAAAAGAGGAACAATAAACTAGCCTACATAAATGATAATAGATGCGGACAAAAATATGTTACTTTAAGATAATTTTTTTTTAAAAAGCAATCAGCAATACTAAAATACTAACTCAAAAAGTACTGGTTCTGTTACGACCAAATGTTTTCTTTATACAGAAATTACATGAATGTCGTCCGAAAAGTAGTTTTTCTTGATGGTAGTAGTAGATACATGTGTAATGGATTTTTTTTTTGCCGCATACATAATATTTACACATTAAATATGTTTTATATGTTACTGATAAACAGACTTTAATTTATAACAAGTAGAATATAAATAAAATTTCATTATCTCCCCGCCATTGTTTCTGTCTATTTACATACTTGCAAATGCAGGAATCATGGCTTCGCTTGGAATGAGTCCCTGGGCTATTTAAATGGTTCTGCTCTAGA